TTTAGTAAAAGTAAAGTGATTAATGCACTAACGTGACTTGTGCAAGAGAAAGAGTCCATTAACTCAAGCTTGAATATAAATACCACAAAGGAATAAAAGATGAAATAACAAATTAATTAGTTCACATATTTTGTGTCATATCACTTAACAATAAACGAACTTTTTCATTAATTTCAAGCTGATTTATAAGAAAATAAGGATTATAATAATTTCTTAATTAAATAGCCAATAATTTAAGTAATTTAATGATAATTTTTTTATACTCAAAGTAATATATTTTGAATTTAAATCATATAACATATAGGTGAAGCGAGTTAAAAAATGAGAAAGAGTTAAGTGATATCTTATTTATTTTAGTAAGAAGTAAGTGATTTATACTTTCTTATCATGAATCATGATTAATGGACCAACATTGACTCAAGATTTTTGAAAGGTTTCAAAGAGGAAAAGGTGTATTCCTCCACTCTGAGCAGTTGGTTACCACCTGCCTTAATGGAATCATTGACTGGGGCTCATGTGTTTAAACGCCCAGCCCACCCCTCTCCCCCTTCCCTTGTAGTAGTTACACTACTACTAATTCTCTTGTTTCAAAAATAAAACAATAAAAGGAAGAAGAAGAAAAGACGAACCAAATTGTATTTTAAATAAAAACATTCAAATTATTTTATAGGCCATGAATTATTTATTTTGGTAACAGAAAGTCATGTCAAATTACACTTGTAACTATAGTTGCGTTTGTAGAGGTGCAAATTTCATGGCTGTGATTAGATAAAATAAAAAGGAATGTTTCGTGAGAAAATGACCTCTTCCTGCGGATATGGAAGAGGTTGTCATTTACTGATATACACACACAGTCCAATTATAAAGTATGCAAGAAACAAATGTAAAAATAACTGTTGGCATAAAATCACTCAATATATTGATTTGGAGCTGCTGGTCCCATAATTACTCAACTTCTTGATTTAGTGCTTGAATGCTTGATTGAGTTTTGTTGAGTTTCACCTGATTTGGCCTTGCTGCTATTTGGGAAATTGATTAACTACCACTGATTTTGTCTTTTTGTCATCGAGGAGATTACTTACCTTGCTTGAATCATGGTCGTCCTTCCTGTGATATTGGAAATCTGACTTGCTTGAATCACTATCATCCCTTGAATGATGGGCACTTGCTTTTACATGATCTTGGTTTCAAGTGTGGTGTAATCCCTCCCTTTTCTCCTAATTTTCCCAAACAAATGTTCATTGTCAAAACTTATAAACAATTAGACTCAAGCATGACTTGTTCAAGAATTTTGTCCGGCTTTACTTTTCAGGCTTAAATTGGATTCATCCAGAAAATAGTAGAATTTATACTTGACTTCAACTCAATTTATCAAACAAAACATTCAAATTCATGCTCGAGCTCAAATTCAATTAATTTTAATATTGTATTTTATAGGATAATGGAAAGGTTAATATAGACGATTTGCTTTTTGACACCATCTTGAGCTTGAACTCAATTGCTAGGCTTGTTCACCAAAATGAAATAATTTGCAAGCTCTTGAATATAAGAAGAAATTGAAGATAGATCTCAACAAGTTTGTAATCTAGATGTAAGAGCCTCAAATCTTAATAACTTCTATAATGGAAGTTGTCCAAAAATAAAAATTAATAGGGCAAAAATTTCAACTCTATTCTTTATTTATTACAGTAGTATTGATATAAATATCAAATTACGAGCTTTATTTTGCTCATTATGCTACTAATTAATCCTTATCTTCTTTTACCATCAAAAAATGGAATGAATTGTTTTTGTCCATAATGCCATTAACTAATCCTTGTTTTTATTCTACTAATTATGGGGTTTATGTTTTTACTTTTATTACAAAATTTTACCTTACTTAACAACTTGTCTTGTTGAGAAAGAGGATGAGATTCTATCCCTTTCTCACTTTCCTTTTGGCAAAATGGTACCCTCAATATAATTTTTTTTTCATTGTTTTTAATTCTTGATTATAATGTTAGGAAACGAGGGATTTGGAATTTGCTTTTATCTTTATTGTGCCACTACTAATTCTTATCTTTCTAACCAGAGAAAATTGGGATCAATTATTGTGCCATTATGGTGCCAAGTGATCATGATCTTCTCTAACCATGAATCTATATAAACAAAACACAATATAACTTTTGGTTAAACCTCAACTAATTAATTGTTTAGTTGCATTTACCAAAAAAATAATAATAATTCTTTAGTTACAGAAAATCATGCCCAAAAGGAATCATGTGCCTCTTAAAACTACCTCAAACATGGTATGACAAAAATTGTTACATAAAAAAAAATAGAAATCACTTTCTTATAAATTAGACTATATAATTACATAAAGTTGACAAAAAAAAGGGTATGATTTTTTTTTTTTTT